ACACACACACACACTTATGGTGAGTGTGTGTAGCCATTAAATGAAAGACGTTAATATTAATAGTCATTGTGTTGATGAAACAATGACGTGAACAACACAACACGGCCACACTTATGATGAAAGAAATTGTGATAGAGTTTCTTGTCGTCGTCTTTACCACAATATAATGTTAATATTATAATGCATTACTCTGCCCTAACAACTAAGGTCTTTTAAGTTAGTATTGGGAGTTAATAATAATTTTTAGAAGAGTGAACAGGATAGGTTAATATTTATGGTGTGTAGTGACCAACATTATTGTAGACGATAATGTTGGATTAATACCCAAAACGTAATAGCAATCAGTTAATTTGTTCTCCTTTGTGCTATTGTTATTTGTTCAACGTGACAGACAGACAGACAGACAGACAGAGAGAGAGGGGGTGCCTTTCGATATCAATAGAAGATAATGTTTGTTTTTTTAATTTATTCTTCGTTATGTTTATACTGGTGGCTTAGACTAGAACAATGCCTCTCCCTGCATATTCATCTACACCACGAGACAAACTTCAAGTCCTTTACATCCAAGAACACCGAGACCCCAAGACCAGGGCCAGCCGCAGGTGTGGAAGGAAGGAGGGAAGGAAGGAGGGAGGAGAAGGAAGGAAGGAATGTCTCTCTAGCTGTTGGCCCCATTCCTCCTCACACGTCATATTTCAGTCTCTCAAAAGAAGGTTGAAAACATCCTTTGAGTGTCCTGTGATGAACGACTCTCTGGTGCTGTTGATCGACGGGTTCTTCCCCCAACACACACACACACACACACACACACACACGTCGTAAATCTTTTGCTGGTGGAATGAGTGACAGGTTCCTCATAGGTTCCTCATAGGTTCCTCTCAGGTTCCTCGCCAGGGTAAGAGTCTCGTTACTCACTACAGGCTCAAAGGAACTCAATCCTATCAGATCCTTCGAGACTGACTTGATAGAGGGAGACGGTCGAGGGAAGGAAGGAAGGAAGGAAGGAAGGATAGATATCTGCACTGAGAAGATTGTAGAAATAGGAGAAGTGATGGTTGATGGTGTGACCGTAGTACTGCTAAGTGTGTGTGTGTGTGTGTGTGTGTGTGTGTGTGTGTGTGTGTGTGTGATGATATGTGATGTACAAAAATTCTTAGATGAATGTACACACTAAATTGATGTTGATATCTGATGGTGTTTTCTGTTTTGATAATCTGGGTTTTCCTGATTGGCTGTCCACAACTATTAGGTTTAGTAGAAGATAAGCGGACCCGTGACTCGTGTTCACTCTGTTTTAAAGGCATATTACTCTTCCATAAGTGTGTCGTCTACCTCAACATACGACCCGGGCATATCATTAGTCATTGCCTCGGTATTAGATCGTTCAGCGGGGTTCAATTGATCGTTCAGCGGGGTTCCAATTGATCGTTTAGCGGGGTTCCAAGCGATCGTTCAGCGGGGCTCCAATTGATCGTTCAGCGGGGTTCCAATTGATCGTTCAGCGGGGTTCCAATTGATCGTTCAGCAAGGCTCAATAGATCGTCTGGGGTTCAATTGATCGTTCAGCGGGGGTTCCAATAGATCATTCATTAAGGCTCCAATAGATCATTCAGCGGGGCTCCAAAATCGTACATCCAAATCCTGGCATAAATAAGTTACTCAGGCTAACTCGGGTTGATGACTCCATTACACTTCACAGCTAGAGACAAAGATCTTTTAACACGTAATTTCCTCGACCTCCCACCAGACACGTGATGGTCTCAGAACTATGACAAGAAGTTGTTCTAACGTAAGCCATGAAACGTGTCCAGGGTCTGTTATATTATTGGTGTGTTATATTCTGACTTAATTAAATGAAGCGAAAAAACGTATATCGCGTCGTTCGAGTTGGCCATTGAAATTTTAGCCCCTGTTCTTATTTTATAGCGCCTCTGTTCTTTAATTATAGCCTCTGTTCTTTAATTATAGCCTCTGTTCAACAAATGTGCCCGGCTACTCTTACACCATTACATCGCGGTTAACTGTAATAGAATTTCCTTCTGTTTTAATTTATAGTACGTGGGGGCCCCGGCTGCTACGTGGGGGCCCCGACTGCTACGTGGGGGCCCCGACTGCTACTGGATATGCTAATTCAGGTGTAGATTTGGGACAGTAAAGAACGTGTGTTGTTAGTCATGGTTAGTGTTAGTGTCCGGTGATGCTTTAATTCCCGGCCAGTGACGTGTACCGGCCAGTAACGTCTACCACCCAATGACGTGTACTGCCCAGTGACGTGTAATGTACAGTAGAACTGTTAGTGTGTTGTATATAATTATAATAATACTAAGACCAATAATTAATGGTGGACAAACAAGACTCTTAGAAAATGTGTCCTCTTGTGTTAGGAAGTCTTAGGACAGTTATATCATAGACTACATCTGGTACAGTCAAAAAATAGTATCTTCACGGACGGGGGGGTCGATGAATTACAAAATGAACACTACGACTCCTGTTGTCTCGGTAGGGTTATCAAAATCTTTCGTCCATTGTCATAACGCAAGTATAGATATTTTTTTTAATGTTCAGGTTTTGAAGAATAAACAAAGGAAATGATTAATTTTAGTCATACAAATGATAAATGAGACGGTGGTTGTAAATACAGTAATGTAACAAAATTTATAACTTCTTGGCCGTGTGAATTCGTAATTGATTCTAAGTTAGTTACCCCTTGCACCCCTGGTTTTCGTTTTCTTTTATTACCGCTAATTGTTGTTGTGTATCTAAATTCTTGTCATATTACTAATTGAAAACTATATTTATACAGTTTTAAAGTATAATTGTCGAGAGGTTTAGGAGTGGGTTGGTGTGCAGTGTACATGGAGTGGGCTAGCGTGCAGTGTACATGAAGTGGGCTAGTGTACATGGAGTGGGCTGGTGTGGGTGTACATGGGTGGGCTAGTGTGGAGTGTACATGGAGTGGGCTAGTGTGCATGGGTGGGCTAGTGTACATGGAGGTGGGCTGGCGTGCAGTGTACTGGGCGGGCTGGTGTGCAGTGTGCATGGAGTGGGCTAGCGTGGGTGGTACATGGGTGGTCTAGCGTGAAGTGTACATGGGTGGTCTAGCGTGCAGTGTAGCATGGTGGTCCTAGCGTGCAGTGTGCATGGAGTGGTCTAGCGTGCAGTGTACATGGGTGGTCTAGCGTGGAGTGTGCATGGAGTGGTCTAGCGTGCGTGTACATGGAGCGGTTGCAGTGTACATGGAGTGGTCTAGCGTGCAGTGTACATGGAGTGGTCTAGCGTAAGAAGTGTACATGGGTGGTCCTAGTGTGCAGTGTACTGGAGTGGTCTGGCGTGCAGTGTACATGGAGTGGTCTAGTGTGCAGTGTACATGGAGTGGTCTAGCGTGCAGTACATGGGTGGTCTAGTGTGCAGTCATGCGATTGGTCCTAGCGTGCAGTGTACATGGACGCTGAACTAAAGACGAAAGTTGACAAAACCTCCAAAAATAATCCACAATAGAAATATATTTTACCTTCTACGTCAACACCATTTAATTTACCTTCTACCGTCAACTCCTGGGTCATTACGGCCAAATTTAACCGGAATATATGATTACCACGGCCAATTACTCCAGGCCGACGACCCCTCCGTGACGGCTAAGTTACTGTGGGGGTCATACGAGGAGGAAGAGTTACTACGGTAGGAAAACCTTATCTGGTGGGTAAGGTATTGTGAGTAAAGTTAAATTGTGTTTGAAAATTTAATGTAGTGAGGATAAATGATGATAGATGTTACTTAAGGTGGAGTGAAATAATGTACTTATGGGGAAATTTGGGGAGGAAATTACTTTACCTAATCTAATTTACCAGTAACCTAACCTAACCTAACCTAACTAAACGCTCCTTAGGTACTTAATTCCAAGTACCACCAACTGTACACAGAGTATTGGAACCTACCTACGTCACCATAGTACTGTATAACCTTAAGACGTGGATTCGTTCTTAAGTGTTCTAAAAAAATCTTTCTTTAGTATAATTTAATAACAAAAGCGTTCTAAGAAAAAAATATTTATATATCTTTAATGAGTTGTAAAAAGAGTTAACGTATAATAACAAAAGTATTCTAAACTTTTATTATAATTTCTAAAAAGTATAAGTTTTCTATATTCGAAAAAAAAATGTTTCCTGTATAAATTTTTCACGAAAGAGTTCTAAAAATAAAATGAAGTTTCGTGTAAATTAATAAAAGAGGAATACAGAGTTACAAAAATACCTTGACATTATCGGTGTAAATTTGGACAAGAGTAACAAAGGCTTTTATTGTGATATGAGATCCTCAGCCAGGTGGAGTTCGGTGTGAGGGGAGTGAGAGTGGAGTGGGGTGGGGGGAGGGTGAGGTAGGAGGAGGGGGGGGGTGGGGAGGGTGAGGCAAGGAGGAGGGAGGTGAGGCAAGGAAGGGGGGGTGAGGCAGGAAGGGAGGGGGTGAGGCAAGGAAGGGAGGGTGAGGGCAAGTAAGGGAGGGTGGGGAGCAAGGAAGGGGAGGGGTGAGGCAAGGATTGAAATTGAGGTAATAGAGTGATGGAGAGAGAGAGAATAAACGGGAGATAATAGAATGAAGGAGAGAGATAGAGAGAAGAAAAGGGAGAAGAATGAAGGAACATAAAAAGAGAAGTGAATGAAGAGTTAAGATGAGAAATGGGGCTGAGACAGGTACAGTGTCTGACGTCACCATGTGGGCAGAGACGAGGTCAAAGGTCACCAAGAGAACGAGCTCAGGTTCACTAGGGAAACAGGGCCAAGAATGCAATCGAGTAGCCTGGGTCAAAGGTCACCAAGGGAAGGGTGAAGCCAAAATACCTCGACGCACATAAGTCGTACTCTCCAGCTCACGACAATGACAGCAAAATCTCGACCTCAATTGGACGGTGAGTGAGATGTGTTGAAGACACTTTATGCCGGCGCCTGTGAGGTGGTGGTGGTGGGGCCAGTCACTGCTACCTGGGAGGTGTGACGGTGTGAGTCTCACCAGTAGTGTGTGTCTCACCAGCTTACAGTGTAGTCTGTCACCAGCAGATAGTGAAGTCTTTAGCAGACACTGTTGTCACCAGCAGACAGTGTTGTCATCAGCAGACAGTATAGTCTTTAGCAGACAGTGTAGCCACCAGCAGACAGTGTAGTCCCTAGCAGCAGATAATGTGGTCTCTCAGCAGCCAAGAGTGTCAATCATCTTGTCCGAACAAAGGGGGTAATGGTGAGTGTCGGCACCATGAGTAAGGCTTGTTACTGCCGGAGGTGTACACGACGACAGTACCTTTAACCCTGAGAGAGAGATAACAAGCGCTGTTGTGTATATTCATCTTGATAATAAATAACCTAAGTGACACAACCCAAGATGGATTAAACGTAGGGACATTGACAAGTGTTCTCACCTATATTAACTGTGCGATATTAACAACAAATTTCCTCGTATGGACCAAAACAAAAGGTCCTTGTGTATAATGGGTGTTTGGATTAACCTTGTAAAATGTTTCGGAAAATGCTTAAGAGATTATTTAGAATGCATCAAGAGTAAACTGTATAAATTGTCTCACTTTAGTCACACTGTTAGGACTACATATTTGTAACTCTCTTTGTAACACGTGAAAACCTTTGATATTACGATATAGTGAAAACTTTATTAACGGTATAAAGTTATTAAGAAGCTGTCGTATAGTTAGAAACTTTGTCGTTAATAGCTGGCCGAGGTTGTGATGTGATCTGATAGTTTACACTCGTCTCACCTGAGGTTACTCGTCTCACCTGTACCTGTCATCTTGGTCTAACATTTTTTATTGTGGTTACCTACATCTACCTGTATGACGTACATCTTACAATTTGTACACACACACACACACACACACACACACACACACACACACACACGCCGCTGGTACATAATACAGGGTGTGGCAAAAGTCATAAGAGGTCTACATCCAAAATAACACAATAAATACAGTAGTTCTACAACAGCAAGACGATGATGTATTCACCACTTGTTGGTGATTTAAACTTAGGGACACACTATTACCTGACGACAACATAGTTACCTTGTCTCCTGCCTGTGTGTGTGTGTGTGTGTACACATATTTGGCCACCTGTGGTGTAATGGTCAGCATGTTCGCCTCGCAAGCGAGCGGACCCGGGTTCAATCCCCGGGCAGGGTGAAACTATGGGAGTTTCTTTACGCCATTTGCCTCTGTCTACCCAGTAGTAATTGGGGACCTGGATGTTAATCGATTTGCGGATCGTGTTCGGGGTAATATGGTTAGCCAGTGCAGTTGACGAGTTGTCCGGTCTTCTCGGACTATTCCTGACACTGGATCATGCAGCTCGTTAACTCGGTGTGGTTGTTGTGTTGGCGACAGCTTCTACACCGTAAACAAATTCACCTAGGTGGCCCTTGAATGGCCATCCTCGATACACAGGGCAACCATTATTATTATTATTATTATTATTATTTATTATTATTATTATATATATATATATATATATATATATATATATATATATATATATATATATATATATATATATATATATATATATACAGTATATTGTTTGGTATGCGGGTCGGGTGAGTTAAGGCTGTACAATACATTAAGAGGTGGGCACCTAGGTGGCGACTTTCCGTCTAGACAATCATCATGCCTTACATTGTTCACTATTAGTTCACGTCCCGACGGTCACCGAGATTTAAGATGGCCATGTTATAATCTTCATTCTTACTGTATAGACGTATTATCCAATTTGTTGTGGCGACACACCAAGACAACCTTTTTTCGTGGTGCACTCTGACGTCATGCCACACATACCACATGACGTCATGACATGCTCCCATTGACGTCACGGCCACCCTCTCCTGGTGACGTCACTATGGCCACACACACTGCTTAAGTTGACCTTCACATATTGATGTTTTAAGATGCGTCGTTTAAGACCCTGAAAGACCAAGATCACCTGAACATTAACCCCCCCCCTCCATCTACCTGATGATTAAACACCTGTACGCTACCTGTGGGTTAGGTTAAGTTTTGTTAGATCAGGTCAGATTAATTAAGGTTAGGTTAAATTAAGTCAGATTAGTTTGGGGTTATGTTATGTTAGATTGGGTCAGATTGTTAGGTTATGAGGTCAGGTTAGATTAGGTTAGGTTAAATCGGATAAGGTTGGGATAGGTTAGACTCTCTAGAAATGTAAAGTTTAAGAGTGTAAATGGCAATGTTTACACGGGGAAGGAAATATTTCCCCAGAAAATTAATGGTCGCCATAATTTAGCGCGCTACAGTGTTGTTTGGGGCGGTTACACTCCGATGTCTATCTCGTGGTGGATGTGTGGCTACAGCGGCCGACACTGGTTCCATTATTATACTTTACCTGTAGTATTATTTAACTCTCTTATCATATTTTTCTACTTATAAATTTTAAGTTACTTTTTAGGTTTTTTTCTGAAATTAATTTTGGTTTGAAATTTAAGTGTCTTCGTTTTCCTATCTTAATTTAGTTATTTTTGTTTATTTGTTGTTATGTACTTATTCACCTTTATTGTTTGAGAGAAAATTCAACTTTGTTATTTTATGCAGTTATGAGGACGATGGTCTAACGTCTTGACAATTAAAGGTTTAGTTTTATCCTCATGTAGAGTTGTCAAATAAACCATCATCTTAGAATGTGGTCAGTGGTGGGAAGCCAGACCAGTGTGACCCAGTGGTGTTATAGGCAGGTCACCGAGGGTTATTTAACATGGGCAGGTCACCGAGGGCTACTTAACATGTTAGTTTTGTTCACCTGTGGAGTTATTATCATAGCATTGTTATTTTCTTGATTAATTATTGTTTTTGTTTCATGTTACCTGTCGAGGTTTTATTTACGTCCTTTTTCTTATCTACAGGTAAGGAGAAAGTGACCGGGAAGTAACCTCTAGGACAGGACAACTCAGACATACAGTTAAGTAGGTGAGATAACGAGGAACCTTATCACAGAAAACGACCAAGACCATCGGGTACACTAACCTATTCTCCTCGAGGATTTATAAGGCTGACTAAACCAAAAATGTGCTCCATCTTTTTTTACTCTGTAGAATTAATGGACTCCCAGGTTCGTAAAATACCGGGTCGAGACACAACCACTGGGAGAGGAGATAACAGTGTATTCAGGCAGTGTCTCTAGGCTGTATAGATATATTTACGATTTTCATAGACGGGATAAAAAGAAATCTTGTAAACTTTCACATTTTAAAGTCGATTTTAATCTAACTAAATAACACAGACAGTATATGGCTGACTGCTTCCACTTCCTGCATTGCAAAGTTTGGTACTTGTTCACAGCTGAATAACCTTGTTGCATCCTGAATCCGAACCAGTGACATATAGGATAGGAGGCGAACATTGTATCCACTTGGCCACCGCACTCCTGAAATACATGTAACTGTATCAGGTATTTACACAATTAAGCAAGGTATAGTCATCTACTGCAGGTGTTCAGGAAAGTTGAATTTTATCGCAGCTCCACAAAGTTAACAGCCTGACAGTCCCTTCAACACGTTCAGGCAAAATCTCGCAGTAAACTTAAACAAAATATATATATTATCTGGAGGTAAAACATATATCATAATATAATTCACCCAGTGGACAACGACTGTAGACCAACTTAGTGGAAATATGAAGACAAACAACAATACTTTTTGTTACTAGTTTTCAGAATCTGGTGATGGTGGTGGTGGTGCAGGAGTGACAGTGAAAACGTGGATGGGGAGACAGAGAGACAGACAGACAGACAGACAGAGAGAGAGAGAGAGGTTGAAGTATGTTATTAACCCAGTTTGAGCCCCGGTGACAGTTTCAAGTGATGTGCTTTCCATGTGACGTTATCCATCAAAATAACAATAGAAGCTTGTTAAAGACAGCGGGTTATCTGTGGGCTGCCATAAGGCTTTCTCCTCGCTTTGTTATCCGGTTTTTGCTCCACCGGGTAACAACTGAGAGACTTTAGTTATGTTCTTAAGTTGTAAAGTCAATTGAGTGTTTTTGTCGGTGTAAATCTTTATATTATAGGGAATATGTCCGTCTGTGTGTCTGTGTTTATCTAGTAATTGAATAAACTAATTTTATTGGATATAATTTAAACTGTACAGACAAACTAATGCAATCGAAATTATATACAGAGGAATGGTTCTTTGTGTGTCTGAGTGATTGTTGGCTTTTTCCCAATCACCGAGATTCTCCAATTTTCGTGATTGAACGTTCCCTTGACTACAAGTCGTATGCGATTTTTCGGTAAATCAAAATATCTTAACATTCGAGTCAAGTAAATTGGAGTTGGTAATACTTGATGGTATTGTACAGCGTTGGCAGTACTGCAGCCTTCTGGGGGGTTGCCATTACGAACTAAAGTAATATTGCCACGACCTACAGTAATATTGCCACGACCTACAGTAATATTGCCACGACCTACAGTAAAGTTGCGACCTGCAGTAAAGTTGCCATGACCTACAGTAATATTGCCGACCTACAGTAATATTGCCCGACCTACAATTAAAGTTGCCACGACCTACAGTAATATTGCCACGACTCTCTCTCTCTCTCTGTTCGTGTGTTGGCACCGAGGGCACAAAGCGTCCTGAGAGCCACAACGGCGCCAACAGAACAGGAGGTGGGGGGGTTAAATCGTCGCCATGGCCACCTTTACCTTCTACCTCCCTCTCCCTCTCTTCCTCCTTCTCTACCTCCCTCTCCTCTACCTCCTCCCCTACCTACCTCTCCGTTCCTCCTCCTACAACCCTCCCCCTTCCCCCCTAGTCCCCACCCCCTTACCCTCCCCCACAACCCCCACCAAGACTCCATTACTCACAACACTGTTATTGCCTCTGTCTTCCTTTGATTATCCCTGACGTCTGTTGATTAAAATCTATTGTGGGACGACTCTGGTTGATTGTTGGTGGTGGTGGTGGTAGATGGTGTGATGGTGGTTGTGGTGAATTGTGGTGATGGTCGTGGTGGTGGTAGGTGGTGATAATGGTAGTGCAGGAGCGACTGCTGTGAAAACGAGGGGAGAGAGAGAGAGAGAGGGATAAATGTAAACATTGGATTTATGCTTAGACAAATGTGAATGCACTGTCGTAGAAAGCTTATAACCCCCCTCAAGCTGTATGAGACGTTATAGAAAGCTTAAATCACCTCATTGTAAGATAAATAA